GAGGGGCATTATAAGAAATACGGCTGGTGAGATGAGCCATATCATAAAAAGCCATGTGTGTTGGGCTAAGAAGTGGAAATATCATCCTGTAAGAAATGGCAAAGAACATGATTCCTTATTATTTGGTGAGACTTAGAGGAAAACAGAACCCTTTCTTTGAATGAAATGACAGGCCCTCTTTTATAGACATACTATAAAGCATATTTTAAAAATAAAATAAAACACATGCATAATTATTCACAATTCTCTGCTGGCTATTGTTGTATATTAAAGTCTTAATTTTGTACTGCTCCATTTTTCCATGTTCACTAGAAAGTTATCTGACCTGCTTACTCATAGTAGGTCTCTTTTAAATTCTAGAACATGTATTCATCCCACCTTAGTTACTTTTTTGCTCTCTGAATTAATATTAGGTTCTCAGAAGGAGAATATTCCTGCAGGAATAAAATCAAATGTTTTGGATTTTTACTTTTTACAGCTTATCAATGGTAGTTATATTGTCATTTTCTTTGAGAAACAGATTACTTTTAAAGAAAAGAGACTTTCTAAGCATGACTGGCTGCTTTATGTTGCCATTTGCTTTCAATGTAGCCATGTGAAATCTGCACCTATGAATTGAATTAATTACCTGAACTATTTTCCTTAATCTTCATAAATTATTTCTGGTTCAGAAATTGCATTGTATGGTTGCAATAGCAACTGTTAACCACAACAACAAATGTGTAGCTGTCTTTTATAAATGTTTTCCAATGACTCTAAATTTACTGTTGTAAGACAATAAATTTGGTGATCAGAAAGTCAAATGACTTAAGAAGCTTATAAAATATTATATAATTTTAGGGTTTTTTTTCTTTAAGTGAGAAATATGAATTGCATTCGAGGAGCTAAGCCACATGACAGGGAGCCACTGTGGCTTTTTTCATTTAGCTGGCCCCTCAGTCTATTTATTCCAGAGATTCAATTAGAGTACTGAGGGCCCCCATAAAAGCACTGCCCTCTATTGATTTGCAGGATATAAAAAATTTGCATGACAATACAAATTCTGCCGGCACATGGGGGCAGGGTGAAGTAATCACTTTCCAGCTGTCATTACTCTACAGAATCAGCTCAATCTTATCATCTGACTGTGGTTTTAGTGTATTTTCAACTGAAATATGAAGCAGCCAGGATTTACAATCTGAAAGTGTCAGCTTTTCTGGCAGATTCAACAATGGCATTTCATTTACACTGCAATCCACTTTCTCTCTTGGTGAGGTACAAATCACAGAAAAATTGGAAGCCGGCCTAAATACTTTTAAGCTGGTTTTGCCTAACTTTAATGTAAATAGCAAATAATTACAAAATCAATATGAGTTATTAACCCCTTTAAACCTGTCTTCTCCTTACTCATCTGTGGAATTACTTTAAAATGACCAATGAGCAACTTACTGCTAAATGGCTCAGCACAGGCTTTGGCATTGGACAGTCTGCCTTTCAATGCCACCTCTGCCTCTTGTTAGCTGGGTGAGCTAGGGAAAATTATCTCACCCTTCTGTACCCAAACTTCCTATTTGTAAAATAGAATAATAATAATGGCATATTTTAGTACATTGAAATGGCATGAATTTTTAGAAACATTAAATGACATAATAAATACACTAGGGCTATTCCACTGCACTGCTCAGAGAAGTACAATGTGTTCTATGTGGAATTGTGCAAGATGGCAGACCTATGTGTAAAGCACTTAGAGCAGTCCCTGGTACAAATAAAATTAAGACACATGCACACATATGTTTATTGCAGCACTATTCACAATAGCAAAGACTTGGAATCAACCCAAATGTCCATCAGTGACAGACTGGATTAAGAAAATGTGGCACATATACACCATGGAATACTAGGCAGCCATAAAAAAGGATGAGTTTGTGTCCTATGTAGGGACATGGATGCAGCTGGAAACCATCATTCTCAGCAAACTATCGCAAGAACAGAAAACCAAACACCGCATGTTCTCACTCATAGGTGGGAACTGAACAATGAGATCACTTGGACTCGGGAAGGGGAACATCACACACCGGGGCCTATCACGGGGAGGGGGGAGGGGGGAGGGATTGCATTGGGAGTTATACCGGATGTAAATGACGAGTTGATGGGTGCTGACGAGTTGGTGGGTGCAGCACACCAACATGGCACAAGTATACATATGTAACAAACCTGCATGTTATGCACATGTACCCTAGAACTTAAAGTATAATAAAAAATAAAAAATATAAAAAAAAGAATAAATTTTATAGAATTTATGATCTTTCCTTTTTCTTGAAATACTTTGACTTTCTTGAATGTCTGTGTCTCTTCCTAAAACTCTGTCACTGGCTCCTCACATCTAATGGTAGTGTTTCCCAAAACTCATACACATCATGATGACCTACTTTTCTCCTCATTTTCTCCATTAGGTTGGTCTGTTAAGTAGAACTAGACATAATGACAGTGTGTAAACAGGGATGTAGTTATACAATTGAGATGAAAATCAAATAGCTTAATGGTTCCCAAATCTGCCTGTGCATCAGAGTCAGTTAGTGGGTCATTTAAAAATACAGATTCTCAGGCCCATTCCTCAGATCTATGGAATTGGAATATTTGATATGGGGGATTGTTGGAATCTTGTACCCCTAAAAGTTTTTGAGCTATTTCAGCTATTCAGACAGATTTGGTAACTGAAATCTAGAACCAGGAATGTTGCAAATATTAATGTTCAAAATCAGAGTGAAAGATTCAAGTCAAAGAGCACAGGGTCAGAGCATGAGCAGAAAATGAAGTCAAAGTTGAGTGTTAGGAGCTTGTGAAACCTGTTCATTCATGACCCGCCCTGTGCCCCACAGCATTCTCTATCACAGCTCTCACTGCACAGTGTTGAAATGTTTCCAGCTTATGTTTCTTTTCTTTCCTTCCTTCCTTCCTTCCTTCCTTCCTTCCTTCCTTCCTTCCTTCCTTCCTTCCTTCCTTTCTTCCTTCCTTCCTTCCTTCCTTTCTCTCTCGTTCCTTCTTTCTTTTTTTCTTTCTTTTTTCTTCCTTTTTTCCTTTCTCTTTTTCCTTCTTTCTCTCTTTCTTTTCTTTCTTTCTCTCTTTCTTTCTTTCTCTCATCTGTCTTGCTCTCTCACCCAAGCTGGGGTACAGTGGCACAATCTCAGCTCACTGCAATGTCCACCTCCTGGGTTCAAGGAATTCTCATGCCTCAACCTTTGGAATAACTAGGACTACAGGTGTGCACCATCACGCCCAGCTAATTTGAGGTTTTGCCATGTTGCCCAGGCTGGTCTGGAACTCCTGGCCTCAAGCAGTCCACCAGCCTTGGCTTTTCAAAGTGCTAGGATTATAGGTGTTAGCCACCCATGTCCAGCCCTCTTGAGCTTATATTTCTTATTAAAGTATGAGATTCATAAAGGCAGACTTAGTCTGAAAAATTCCTTTTCATATCCTCACACCACGTGTTCATGGCAAGGATCCAAAAAATGTTGTTAAAATGAATTGTTAAAATGTAAGCTGAGAGAGCGAATTGTTAATAGGACTCTTTGGCTCTTTTGTTACATATAAACAATCTGAACTAGTTAAAAGTGAGAAAAGGGAACACAGTTTGAGACTGTCAGGTGTCTCATGAAACTCAACTCTGAGCTTCAGGTAAGAACTAGACCACAAGATAAAGGCTGTTAGGACCATCATCTCTGTTTCTCTTTGAACATTTACTTCAATAACTTCTTTCTGAAAGCCAGATTTCTCTGCTTCTCTTGTTTTCGAGGTTTATATTTTGCAGTTCGTCTTCCACTGAGAATAACTCATTGTCTATTCTAATTCTAAATTCCTGGGACTGAGAATCTGACTGGCCCAGCTTGGATCCAATATCTAAACCAGATCCAGTTGGCCATGGCCAGAAAACAGGCACAAAGAAGAAATGTCACGACTAAAGACCCACTCCTGTGGATTGGGGGACAGAGGGATGGTCAGTGCTCAGATAAAGTAGACTTAAACACTTTTAATATTATCTGTTGCAGTGAAGCAGAGTCAGATAAGCTGTCCAAAAAAGAGAAGCAGACAGTGTGCTAGAGAACGTGGCACTGAAGTACATATCAACTGTCTCAAACTGGAAAATTTTATCTTTTATTCAGGACCAGACCTTTTTACAGGGACAAATCCCTAGAGGAACACGTGGGAGTGCTTAGGTTGTAGGAGAAGAGTCAAGAGTTTGGGGACTGCAAAGTGCACACCTTTGGCCAGGAAAGACTTTACATAACTTGTTACTGGGTCTGCCCACACAGTACATGCAGGGAGAAAAAAGCCATTCCATGTGTACTTTTACTGTTTAAAGAAAAGGGTAATATATCACAATCATAATGCAGCAGAGTGACAAGGGCACCTTCCCAGATGGCATGAAGTCTGCCAGTAGATTGAAAAAACTGAAATAAAAATGTTTCTATAACAGAACATTAATTTTTATGTACCATACAGCCAACATGATAGAGACAGACAGTAACTAGTATTTGAACTTCTCGAAGGAAGGCCTAATCTACTGAGAGGAATGGGAGAGCTGGGATAAGGAGGCATCTCATATTGAACTGTGCACCTCATAAGTCCTCAGCAACACTTGGTGATGGAAGATGGTAAAATTGTTTTGCAGACCATAAAGGCTTCAAGTTTTGCTATCCTGGATATAATCTTTAATGTTGGTGCTCAGTATGGTGGGAGGATATATTCTCCAGGTGTATGGAACAGTATGGTGGGAGGATACATTCACCAAGTGTATGGAATATGTTCCTTAACCACTCTTCCCAGTCCTCCTTCTAAGCTGGAGAGAGGAGAAAGAATTGACAACCATAACCAAGACATACTTATGTTTCATCAAACCAAAGTATGAATTCATCACTGCACTGAGCAGTGGACTAACCAATATGTAGATATTTTTTTATTAATATTTTATATTAATTTATTTGCTGGCTTATATGCTTAAAAGGTCTTTGTTTTAAATGCAGGTGATCCAAGGACATATGACCCAGATTTCAAGGGGCCTGTTTCCAACAGGTAAGCAATTATTTTTGGGGGAATATGCTTTTTTTAAACATACACAGAAAGCTTTGGGGGATGGGGGAGGTACTATTTTCCAATCAATGGAGAATTATGTCTACTGTGAGGGGACAATGACTTATTTCTGCCTAAATGTCACCTTATTTACACAGGGAAAGTACAGAGAATAAATCTTTCCATGAGTCATGAATATCTTCTCCCGTTAGCAAATGAACTGCCTTACATTATTAAACTAAGTGTTTGTACTTTTCAAAAAGAGAAGCGAAAAAAATGCTTTATGAAATTTAACCACTTTGTAGAGAAGCAAACTCATTCAAGCAGTTGTTTTATGCACCTGTTTACTCTGGGACTTACCAATGCAAATGCAGAGTTGCCATGCCATGCAGAGTTCTATGCCAAGTATTTGTGCCGCTCAGCTTCCAAGATCAGGGTGCTTTCTCAGAGGCAGTCATTCACCAGTGCATCGTGTGCACTTTAGGATAGTTTAAAATGCTCTAGGGAAATATGTGCTCGTCTCAGCTGGTGCTTCCTCCCCTCTCCAAGGTTCTGTGCCATTTTTAAATTAGCCAGCAATTCATAGTCCTCTTATTATTTATTTTAGCCTCTATTTGCAAGCTTTTTGCTAATCACAAAGGGGATTGTGGGGTAAAATGGCTACATATGGAGGGAAGACTACACAGTTGGTGGCTGTTTTTTGCTTAACTTTGATTTCTGGCAGTTGTATGTCATAATGAACCGTGATGTGAACTAGCGATCAGCATGCTCATTTGCACGTGCCAACCATCAGTATGTACATTAGCATTTACTGTTATGTCCCTGTAATAGCCCAGCTTTAAAAAGATGTATATTCAGTTTGTTCTAATTTTGTGGAAAAAAAAAAAAACAAGTCATTTGTTTCAGGTTACTCATTTAAAGGCATACTTAGAATAAAGGTGCCTTCTTTAAAATGAGTCCAAAATATCTCCATTCTCTCCATGGTAACACCATGAATACATTTTGTTGTCTAGTATACAAACAGCCTCATTCAGTGTGGTGGCTACTTTTACTATCATTACATCCATTTTACAATAACTTATTTGTAAGCATCAAATATAGCCTATTGACTTCAAGGAAACTTCAGGTATAAATCAGATTCAGCAGTAATAATAATTATAATAAATAGGCTGACACATTTAGAAAGAGGAAATACAGATTACAGGTTTCTAGGCCATAGATAAGAAAGCGGAATTAGGCCTGGCTGGTTTTAGGTGTAGTAAAAGAGGTGAGATCTCCTGTCTTCCATTATGTAGAATTTAATGATGGAACCGGGTAGTTCAGGTAAAGTCTAAATGACTGTGATCATCACTGTGAGGAAAGTAATTTATTTTTACCTGGGGCCTTTTGTGATGTCTCCGGTACCACAAAGACCTTCAAAGGTGAACTGGTCATTCTGTGGGCATACCTTCCTCTGCCTTCAATCCAAGAACAGAGGAGAGCATTGTAAAATCGTGGGGGCATAACTACAGGAAGACGTAGTTGGCCCATTTGTAACTTTTCCGGCAGCAGGGTTCTATACTGCCCTTACTGGGAAAATAATCGGGGTGCTTAAGGAGCAAGTAAGAAGCCCCCAATTCTCCATATTGCCTTTAGCAGCAGGACTGGCTTTAATAACACCTTGTGCTTACATCATGCAGCTCTCCTGAAAAATCCAAAATGTTATTGGATAATCAGACAGACTCTTCAGCATTCTCTGCTTGTCAGTCCACTATGTTCTGTTTTCTTCTCTCAGTTCACAAGGGCAGTATTTTGTGCCTAGTCACCACACAACTGTATTTGTTTTGAGAAAAGATGAAGGGGTAATAGTCATGCATTGGAGAGGTGAACTCAGTGTCTCATTTGTTCTCATCTACCAAGAACTGGGTGTATGAGAACTATTGTCCAATAATCAAGGAAAGATGATTTTGATAGTTTAAGGTGTTTCCCCAGGCCCTTTTCACAAAGTAGATATTCAGGCCCCAAGATTTCTCCCTGATATTCAACAGAATCAAAAAATGATTGATTAGTTAAAAAGGTATTCAGAATTACCCTTGGCATTAGACATTGGAAATGAATACGCGTAGAAAACTAAGAAATAAAAGCTTTCTGATAAGATGCTACATGAGAAATTCATCTCATAATGTAGACCTAACTAAATTTTATTTAATGGAGAATTGGTATGCTTTCTTCTGTTAGGTAAGAACCGTGTAATCCACTGTTTCTCTTCCTGTACTGCCTTGTAGGAAGCCTGCTGATAAGCCCACTTATTTTTGAGGATAAGAACATCCCATCTTTGTGTTATTACCGACTAGTGTAATTCTTCTGATAGAGTTAGGGGTACTATACACATTTATTTAAGGAGTGAAGGAAAGAAAACAAGAATGGGAAGGAAGCAGTGTGACATAGAATCCAGGGATAAATACAAGGATGAACTTCAAAGGAGGCTGAGTAACGGCTATAGCATTATCACACTTGAGACAAAATAGTCAGCATGTGTAAGTGAGGCTTCACTTATGGGTTTAAACTTTACGACTTCTAAGTCTTTATTTAAAGTTCTTGCTAAGATGCTATCAGAACCCTCTACCATTTTCAGATGCCATTGGTTTGATATTGGGTTCATGTTCCTAAACAAGATACTCTGCTAACAGGAGAGTAGTAGCAGAGTTCTCTGAGCTATTTGCATTACTAGGTATCATGGAATACACCTCATACTATTTCTCAAGTCAATTAGTTTGTATAAAGTGTCTACAGGGGGCATGACACTGCATATGATGTGGATCTAAGTATGCTGTGTCAAGGGAGGTCAAAGATTTACAGGTCCCTCATACAAAAAGTTCAGCCTATTCTGTTTATCTCTCTTTTTATGTTAGGGCAAAGTCATTAAAATGTTATGACCATTTACTTGACCTGTGATCCAAGTCTAGGAAAATAAAGTCCAAATTGCTACAGTTGGCATCCTGTAATAAAGGCCACATATTATCATCTCGGGTTTTAGAGATGGAGTTTGTTTCATTTTGTTTTAAATAGAATAACTATCCTGAAAAAAGGATGCAATTTTAAAGAATGCTGATATTTTCAAGCATAGCTATGAAAGAAATAATCATATGCTGGCCGGGCACGGTGGCTCATGCCTGTAAACCCAGCACTTCGGGAGGCCAAGGCTGGCAGATCAGTTGAGGCCGGGAGTTTGAAACCAGCTTGGCCAACATGGTGAAACCCCGTCTCCACTAAAAATACCAAAATTAGCTGGGTGTGGTGGTGCGTGCGTGTAATCCCACCTATTCAGGAGACTGAGGCAGGAGAATCTCTTGAACCCAGAAGGCAGAGGTTGCAGTGAGTTGAGATCGTGCCACTGCACTCCAGTCTGGGCAACAGAGAAAGACTCTGTCTCAATAATAATAGTAATAATAATAACCATACTTTTTACAAACAGAATGTCATCCAAGGAATAGGTGCCATAACCAGTGGTATACTACGAAAAAATGAAAAGCTAGACCTCATTATTAATTACTCACACAAATATTGAATCCACATCTCTATCCTCCAAGGAAAATTACACACCAGATGACAAGATCCCACATGCATATGATAAGCTAAAGAGCAAGCACAAGTAGCGTGGGCTGTGCACCAAATGTGTGGTTCACAGCAACAGGGGAGGAAGGGCACTCTGAGGCTGGGGTCAGAGGCACTGATTCCTGGGCAGGGTCACAGAGAAAGGAAGACTACTAATTTATGGGAAGCACTTTTCCAAACTTAGGAATTTAAAAGATAGCACTGCTTTCTAAGGGTTAAACTAGAAATTAACATGTAATTAAAGTAGAGATGTAGGTAGTTACCATAATGAGACCTGTAAGGCTTCTGGTCCAGCAAGTCTTGATGATAAATTTATTCAATCTATTATCATATCTAAAGAGAAGTACAAATGATGATCAAACAACTCTGTCCATCCAAGAACTTTCCAGATTAGGGCACCTAAGCCAAATTGATACAAGGATCCTATGTAAGGATCCTGCTCTCTTGACCACAGGCTAGCAGAGCTGGATGCCATCAAGCATTCTATTCATGTAATTCCCCTTGTTCTGACTCCACACTCATCAAGCAACCTTTTGATAATTAGGTTTTTCATTTAGTTTGCCTACCGGGAGGAATGAACTGGTCAGGGCAACATGAACATTAGTTCGGCTCAGCAATTAAATTTCTCAATGTAAATTATTTCATTGGCATTCTGATTTTAGACATCAGTCTCTTGTGAGCTTTTTTAGTGCCAGTTATCACCCCTGAGTTGGAGTAATTCTAGGGCATGACAAAATCAATATTCAGACCCTGCAGAAATGTACATAACTGGTTTGGCTCAGCAGAGTTTATTCAAGGGTTTAGAGAACTCAGAGACTGTTTAGGCAGATATGTTAAGACAAAATTATGTAGGGCTTTGAATATCATGCTAAAGCATTTGGAGCTGATTCTTAGGCAGTGGCAACTCATTGGAGAAATTAGTATTGGGGGAGTGGTGTGACATGATCAAAACTGTTAGTCACAGGTCTGCTATGTACAGCTGTTCATAGTGGAGCTCATGGCTTAACTGAAGAGTCAGCCAAGCAAGCAATTAACTACAACACGGTATTATAAGTGCGCACCCTACTCTTGGAGCGCCAAGAAAGAGTGTCCACAATTCACTCCAGGGATGATCAGAGGGTATTTTTCAGAAGAGAGAATTTTCCATTAGACTTTAATGTTCTTTCAAGATTTCCCCCTTATACAGGTGTTTTAGTTAAAATAAATTTATCAGTATGTCAAAAAGCCTCAGAAGTGTATTTATATTTCTGACTTTCTACTTGATAGTTATACCTGGATATGCCATAGGTATCCTAAACTCAACATTTTAAAGCCTGAACTCATGAGCTCCTTTGCCCTTTATACCCTTCCTGCTCCTTCTCATGGTGTTTCCTCCCTTGGTGAATGTAGCTACAGTCAAACTAGTTGTT